CTGGAAAAGAGACTTCAAAAAAATGTCTTGTTTGAGAAAGTGCTGAAAGTGTTTATATTTTTAAATTAGATATTCTCTAAATGAGTAGGCATTGTAGAAAATTTTAAAAACAAACCATTAAGGCCCAGTCCTCTAGCTACTAACAGTCTAGTGGGAGAAAGATAAGGACTTATGGAGCATATACTTCTCTTTTAAAACTATTATTAATTTTTCATACATCTCATACTATGCATTTTTAAAACACTCACCCTACAAACCTCTCTGTGACTGCTCCCAGGTCCACCCCAGGCTCTACCACTCCCTGCGAACTTTGTGTTATTGTTTTTAACCCACTGAGTCCTATTGTGCTGCCTGTATATCATCAGTATGGAATTACCCACCAGAGCAGGGATTCTCAACCTGTGGGTCATGACCCCTTAGGGGGTCCAGAGACCCTTTCATGGGGGTCGCAAATCAGATATCCTGCATATCAGATATTTTTATTAAAAGTCATAACAGTAGCAAATTACAGTTATGGATTAACAACAAAAATAATTTTATGGTTGAGGGGGTCACCACAACATGAGGAACTGTATTAAGGAGTTGCAACATTAGGACAGTTGAGAACCACTGCACTAGGGCATGGGTCATCTAGCAGGAACCACACCCATAAAGAAAATTGACATTCCCTCTTCCAGCACCCATCAACTGTAAATAGCTCCTCAAATAGGCATGGGGCTCTCAAAGCCCCCCCCCCATGCAGGAATGTTTACTGGTTTGATCATGTGCAGGCAACCACAGCTGCTGTGAGATCATGAGTTCAGTGGTCTTCCCATGTCCAGAAGACATTTCATGCTAGCCATCCGTGACCTCTAGCTTTTACAGTCTTCCTGCTGTGTCCTTTAAGAGGTCCCTGAGTTTTGACGGGTGTGATACAGATGTCCCATCTGTGGCTGAGCACTCTACTAATACTTACTCTTTGCATTTTGACCATTTGTGAGTTTCCGCATCTACCACCATCACTGCACAAAGGCCCTTCTCTGGTGGGGTCTGAGAGCTATATAAAATACTCATTTTTATGGAATGAATTTCAAATTACTATTTGAACCAGCATGATGTCTTTAAATGTTGCAGATCTTTAGAGATCTTCTATAATCAAGTTTCTTATTTAATAACTAGGCATTTGCAACTTGTCCTTGTGTGTGTGTGTGTGTGTGTGTGTGTGTGTGTGTGTGTGTGTGTGTGTTTCACCCCCATCACCTATTTTTAGCTTGGTATTAATACCAGTTCTTTTGTTTCTTGGGAATAGATTTATACATGGCATATAACATTGCCCCTGGGCCTAAAAATATAATTAATTTGAATTACAATTGTAGCTGCAATGAAGAAAATTACTTGTTTGGCAGTCATTACTCGTAAATGTATAGGCATTGTTGTTGGAGACTTGGGGACTGCTAATGTATTGAATTGAATATTTAGGAATGAGAAATCAGAAAATGCAGACTTGAGAGCTTGTTTGGAGGGTCTGTCAGGACAGTACAGCTACTCATATACCCTTGATGAAGGAATGTTCCTGCTCTATAGGGGAAGGTTGTCCTCTTCAGCCAAGCATGAAAGTTTGTGAGATACGTGCGGAGTGGTAAGGTTGAAAGGGGACACCGGCCTAGCCAGCCAGATTAGCTGAGTCAACCTTGGAGATGAGTAGGGTGACAGATGTTGTAACCAGATCGCCCTCCCATCCCAGAGTATGTACACTTAATCAAATAAACATGCTAGAGCAATATCACTTCCTAATGACTTCATTTCTCTAATTGTCTACAGAGCTTGTTGCTTAAACCTCAATCAGAAATGCTTTAAAGACAAATAACAAAAGAATTAACAAAGATATATTTGTGGGTATACTATATTCCTTTCTTTCATTGGCTGTGTTTCCCTTTTCATTTTTTCTCAATGTCTGAGTAGCTCCTGATCTATGTGATAAGAAAGTACTGAGGCTTAGAAATCTGAGCCAGCTAGGCCTGTGGGTCCTAGTTGTTCAGTGAAAGAAACAGCGTTTAACAGACCATAGGCACAAAAAACTGAAAAACTATTAGAAAACAGCTGAATTATAGATGTTTTTACTGGACTAGACTCCAGGAATATAAAGATCAAGTTCTATTATTCTTCTAGCCTTTACTAGGGCTTTCATTAGCATCCTCGTTAATTATTTCGACCAATCTATATTTACTGGTTAAGTAGCAATCTGAGAGGGTTTTTTTGTAGGATACATCTTTGGGCATTGAGGACATTATTTACATACCTATACTATGGATTATTTTCTTCCAAAATGTATTTGTCAGAATTATTTATAGACATGTTTCCTGTACCCAGTGATACTTATTTACAAGTAATAGTTTATAGTTTCATTACTAAATATCCTATTGAGTATCTATGATATGTTAGACACTGTGTTAGATGTTTTGTTTGCATTATATCTAATTTTCATGTAACATGTATCAGCTGGGGTCCCTGCTAGGGAGCAGACCCTGCATGGCGGGGAGCTATTTTCATTCTCATAATGAACTCTGGTTCTGAACACCTATTGTTTGCTGAATTTCTGGTAAGTTCATTCATTTTACAATTCAAAATAAGATTGTGTATCATATAACCCCCTGCAATGCTATTGAGTCCACACAGCATCTACCCTGATGTGAAACCTATCTCAACTTCATTTTAAACATATGAAGTTTACCTGTCTTTCTTACATAGAAAGAATATAGGCATATTTTTTTCTGAAAGAGAAAGATTTATTTGCAACATTTTTCCTGTGACTATTCAACCTGCATAAGAAGAAAGACAGTCTCTCAATGATTCCATTATTTTTGTTTTTTTTTAACTTGGAGGGTCATCCCACTTGATAATATGACTTGTGCAGAATGTATTAGTCCTTGTTCCTGAGCTTTAATTTGATGTTGAATATCCAGACTTATCTAGATACGTGCTCAATGAAACAACTTGGAATCCATCCTTCTTCCTAGACAATGGTAATCATAAGCAGCAGGGTTTCCTAATACTGAATAATGTAAGAGTTGTTATTATCCTCATTTTCTAGAAAAGTGGGTAAGCTCAATAATTCAGTGACTTGTTAATGTTATTCTTTAGTCAATGACAAAGTCAGATTTTTAATCTAGTTCCATTTGAATTCAAATCCTGTGCACTTTTGTTTGAACAAGACCCATTTCAGAAAAGAAACTGGAGAAGGTGTACTTTAAGGTCCTCTGAGCTTTAAAATAGGAAAATTGCTTCAAAAATTCCTTGTGTCTGAATCCATTTGGGAGAGAGGCATACTGTTTTTTTCAATTATGGTCCCAGGGATGCTATTTTTTAAAGTAGGGAAACACAGTATGTAAGTTTCAGTAATTTGTAGATTTAGGGTCTACTCTACATGAGGAGACTAATGTCTGGTATTATAAATCTTGCCAGGAACTCAGGGGGTGGACACATTACTAGTATTTTGCTAAATGGACATAGTATCAAACTGCCTTCTAAATTCATATGTCTAAATCCATAGATGAGTGCAATTTTCAGTCCTCATCAGATTTGGGCAGTGCACAGGAGTTAACACTGAAACTCAAAACTGGTTGAAGTATAGTGTAGATGGGGTACTGAGCCATAAATGGGGCATCTGTATCACACTGCCTGACCCCAAGGCTCAGAGAATATCTTAGAAGAGGGAGCAGAAAAATTATAAGAGTCAGATATTTGAGAGGATTAGGGTAAAACAGTATCTTCTGGACATTTTAGGACCACTACACTCATGAGCTTACAGCAACTGTGATTAACTCCACAAGACTTAGACAAGATCAAACCAGCCAACATTCCTCATGGAAGAGGAAGGGCTGGAAACATCCCCCACTAGTTGAACTTTTTACAATTGATGGGTACTTGGAATGGAAAGTCAGTTTTATTTAAGTGTGTAGCCCTGGTAGATTGACCATGCTCTAGTGCAGCAGTTCACAACCTGTGGGTTGCTACCCCTTTGGGGTCACATATCACATCCTGCATAGCAGATATTTATATTACAATTCATAATAATAGCAAAATTACAGTTATGAAATAGCAACAAAAATAATGTTATGGTTGGGGGTCACCACAGCATGAGGAACTGTATTAAAGGTTAAAGCATTAGGAAGGTTGAGAAGCATTGTTCTAGTGGATGGCCCCACATAGCTGTGAATATATAGGTAACATACAATTGACTCAGTGGACTATAAGGAAAGTTTCAGTAATTTGGAAGATCCTGCTTAATAGCAGATGAATGAGATATGTATTATGGTTAATTAATTTGTGGTGTGTGTGCCAAGAAGCTATTTGCAATTGATACCTGCTGGGAAATAAAAATCAGTTTTCTCCACTGGAGTGTCACTGGGTATATCAACCACTTTCAAGGGCAGGCCCCATACCCAGGAGTAGCTAGCTAAAACAAAACAGACTGGTTTTTGTTTTATTTTGTACACTTTTTGTTTTGCTTTGGACAGGGAGGGAGGTGAGGAGGAGGATCTGAGAGGCACTGAAGGAAAGGAAAGAATGTGATCAAAATATATAAAAATTTTTAATTAAAAAATTGTGTGTGTGCATGCATGCATTTGAACATGTGTGTGGAGGTCAAAGGTCAAAGACGGCTGTCTTCCTCAGTTGCTGTCCATCTTATTCTCTGAGCCAGAGCCTTTGACTGAACCTGGGGCTCACTGAATCAACCTGACTGACTGACTGGCAAAGCTCCATGATCTCCCTGTTTCTACCTCCTGGATGCCGGGATTAGAGTCCCACACTCGGGTGCCGAGCTTTTCTGTGGATGCTGGGCATCAAACGTAGAGCCTTATGCTTGCAGAACAAGCACTTTACCAACAGAGCCATCTCCCTAGCTGCAGATTTTAATCTCTAAATTGTTATTTGGATAGGAACTTTTACCAATTAATATTATATCACTATACCTTTTATCATACTTCTTTTAAAAATATGTCTTCTAATATTTGTTACAGAGGCAGTTAAAGGCAGATGCTAAGAAAGCTATTGGAAAGCTTCAACTGCGCACTTTGAAACAAGGAGACAAGGTACTTTTGTTATTTTTAAAACAAGCATACCAGGCCATTCTTTAAATGCCCTCCTCCAATTGTCTTTTCATTAGCATTTATATACCTCATTGATTATTAAAATTCTAGTCAACACTGAAATTAGAGTGTATAATGGCCCCCAACTGTACCTAGGTACTAATCACTGGCACCTGCAAATATTACATTATCAGGCAGAAAGAAATTGCAGATAGAGAAAGTTTAAGAGGGAGATCATGCAGGACTATTTAGACAAGCCCTAAATATAATTAGAATCCTTATAAGCTGGAATAAAGGAGGAGGTCTGACTGCCATCCATAGCCGGGTTGCAATGGAATAAAAAATGTGGAGTGTTCAAGGAAGAGGCCATGAAATGGAATGTAGGAATTCTCTAGAAGCTAGAAAAGGTAATGAAAGGTATTTTCCCTGAAGTCCCCAGAAGGAACGTAGTACTGCCAACTCCTCAGTTAATTTTGACTGCCACAAAAGATTAGCCATGCAAATGTAAGCCAACAAGTGATGGTAATTTGCAACAGTAATGATAGAAAACTAATATGCTTCAGTACAACTTTGTTTAATGTCCATTTTAGATTTAAGACAGTTGAAAACCCACTGATGAGGAAAGACATCCCCAAAAAACTGTAGGACATAGTGAAATAAAGATTTAACATTTATAACACCATCAGAAGCATTAAGATCTTGAAAACAAATATTCCAAATGTGTACAAAATTTATATGTTAAAAATTGTACAACACCAATGAAAGAAGTCACAGGATCTGGGGATTATAGCTCAGTGGTAGAGCTCTTGCCTAGCATCCTTGAGGCTTTGAGTTCAATCATAAGTATGGAGAAAGAAATCAAAGAAAATATAAATAAATGGAGATCTATATCATGTTTATGGATCAAAGACTTCATTGTTAAGTTGTCAGTTCATCTTAAACTAACCTATGCGTAAGATAAGAGTTTCAACAAGAATTTTCATGAGATAATATTAGAAAAGCTCAAGAACTAGTGTAATCAAAACAGTTTTGATGAATAAGAACTGTAGAAATTGAATGTGCTGTGTCACCACTCTACAGATGGTGGGACCTGGGAAAATGGAGCTGATAAATAAGACAGACTAAAGTCTCATGTAATAGCCAACTTTATTCAGAGCACCTGACAATTTATACTCTGGAGGTTCAGAACTGTCAGATGAGTAAAGTTCTCATGAGTTCAAGCTGTATATAATTGCAAGGACAAGCCACATGTGGCAAAAACACATTTTCCATAGAGGCATATAAAAATTAATTGAATAATATCAGCAAGCAATAATGAGCAAGCTGAAGTCAACTCACTCCTATCCACTACACCTGGGAGGAGCACAAAAACACATTCCAGGAACAATTCAATGTTTTGAAGAAACTGAGGTCACAAGACTCTGGTCTTGTTTTTTTGGAGTGTTCTCACAAGCACTTAGAATTTTCCTCATATGACTTCATTCCTGGACCTTGTACATGCCTTCAATTCCAGCATCCAGAAAGCGGAGGTAAAAGGATTGGAAGTTCAAGTTTAGCCTAGGCTACAGAGAAAGACCTTGTCTCAATATAGGGAGGATTTAAAAAAACAAACAAACAAAAAACTTCAAATAGTAATTCACACACACCCCCAATTTTCAGGATTATTTTAAGACTGTGTCTGTGGGGGTGTAGAAATGCTAGACTTATAAATGAATGGTAAGATATAGAATCAAGAAATGGACCAACAGACACGTGGCCAATTTATTTTTTTTTATGAAGATCCAAAGGCAATGAAGCAAGGAAAACTCTCTGCAGTGATGATCTGTCTTAGTTAAGGTTTCTATTGCTATGCTTAAAGCACCATGACCAGAAGCAACTTGGGGAGGAAAGGGTTTATTTAGGTTTACAGTTCTATGTCAGTCTATCACTGAGGGAAGTCAGGACAGGAATTTAAACAGGGCAGGAACCTGGAGGCAGAAACTGATGCAGAGGTCATGGAGGAGTGCTTCTTACTGATTTGCTGCCTCATGGCTTGCTCAACATGCTTTCTTGTAACCCTCAGGACCACCAGCCCAGGGTGACATCACCTACAGTGAGCTATGCCCTCCTATATCAACCATTAATGAAGAAAGTGAACCACAGGTCAATCTGGTGGGAACATTTTCTCAATGGAGATTCCTTCTTCCAAAATGACACTTATGTCAAGCTGTTATAAAACTAGCCAACATAATATCCATTTTTAAAATACCTCCTTTCTTTGTACAGTGTAAAAATTAACTCAGAAAAGATTATAGGCCTAAATATAAGGTCTATAATGATTGATTCCTTAGAAGTCTTTGGAGAAAAATAATTCATGATGTAGGTGAGATACATTGATAATTTTTATGTGTGACACCAAAAACAAGTCTACAGGGAAAATGTGGAATTTGACGGTTAAACTTTAAGAATTTCTGTTCTTTGGGGGCAGGCAAGATGGCTCAAGAGTACTGGCTACTCTTTCAGAATACCCAGCTTCCATTCTTAGCACTCCCAACCATCTGTAACTCCAGTTCCAGGGGATCTGATACCCTCTTCTGCAGGCACCAGACATACACATGGTGCACAGACATAAAAGAAGGTAAAACTTACATACACATAAAATAAAATAAAAATTAAAAAATTCCTATTCTTGCCAAACATGGTGGGCACATCTTATAAGCCCAAACTTGGAGGCATAGGTGTCTCTCAGAGTGAAGCCAGCCTGGTCTACATAGCAAATTCCCAGGCAGCCAGGGCTACACAGTGAGACCCTGTATCAACTAAACAAACAAACAAATAAATGAATTTCTGTTATTTGAGAGACAATTTTTAAAGAAAGAAAACACAAGGCACAGTCTTGGAGAAAATATTTGCAAACTGCACATTTATTGAATGACTACACTTAGAATACAAAAACCTCTTGACTCACCAACAAGAGGAGCAGCCAAATAAAAGTAGAGACACAAACCTGTGATAGGAAAGCACAAAGGAGATTGTGAGAAAGGGCCATAAAGGTACAAGAGGGGTCAGGGAGATGGTGGAGAATATAGGAGGGGGGAGAATCAACAACCACCAAATAAATTTAAAATTCCACACTGAGGAGGCTGGAGAGATGACTTAATGGCTACGAGCACTGGCTGCACTTCCAGAGGACAAGGGTTCAATTTCCAGCATGCACATAGTGACTGACAAGCATCTAAAACTCCAGTCCCAGGAGATCCAATGCCCCCTTCTGGCCTATTCAGGCACTGTATGCATGTGGTATACAGATAATGCATTCAGGCACTCATACACATAAAATAACAATAAATAAAATAATAGAAAAATACTACAATGAAACCTAATACTGTATGTGCTAATTACTTTGAGTAAATATGTGCTGAAGAGATGGTTCAGAGTTTAGGAGCATTTGCTGCTCTTACAGAAGTCCTGGGTTCAATTCCCAGCTCCCATTTGGTGGCTCACAACAATAAAAATATGTCTTAAAATTTAATAAATATAGTAAGTATACTAAACAGATGTTTCATCAAAGGAACATATGGCAGAGAAGTATACAAAAGAATACCCAATGTCACTGTTCATTAGGGAAATACAAAATTAGAACCACCTGTGTTACCAGTATACATTCCTGGAAAAGACAAGACCTGATGAATATGTACAACCTCTGGGATTCTTATGTATCTTCTGGTGACAATACTAAATGATTATGTCTACCCTGATTAACAATTTCTTATGAAGTTAAAAAATGCATTTACCATACTAGATATTTACTGTAAAGGAAGGATACTCCTATATCCCCATTAAACTCCTAAACATAGTTATTAGTAATTCTTTACAAACTGGAAAGAATCTGAATTCCCATCACCTGGTAAATAAACTGTGGTGTAGCTGGAGAATTTTTCTCCAGCTCCCACCGCCAAGTACCGCCAGTCCCAGAGCCCACTTATAAAATAAACACACAGACTCTTACATTATTTAAACTGCTTGGCCATGAGCTCAGGCCTATCATTGTCTAGCTCTCACTCTTATATTCAGCCCATTTCTATTAATCTTTACTTTGCCACTGGCTTGTGGCTTACCGGTACTTTACATCTTTCTCGTCTTGGCGGTGGCTCCAGCCGGTCTCCCTTTCCTTCCTCCTTCCTCACTGTGGAATATTCATACCATGGAATAAAATTTAGTAATAAAAGGGTAAGCAAGTCCTACTGCTACCTACAATAACATATGCGAATATCAAAGGCCTTATGATGAGTGAAGGAAGCGAGACTCAAAACTTAGATAGTGTATGATTCCATTTATATGGCATTATTTTTAAAAGCCTAAGGTATAGGAATTGAAAATACAACAGTGATAGGCAACGGTTGGGAATGAGAGGAAGGCTTAGTTACTAAGGGAATATGGATGAATTTATTGGGGGTAATGTCATTATTCTATATCTTGATTGTGATGGGGATTATATTACTACATATGTTTTTCAGAATGTGCAGGACTGTAGACTAAATGACTGAATTTTACTATATGCAAATTATACCTTTTTTAGCGAAAACATAACTATGAAAACATATACATGTTTTTCTATAAATTCCAAAGTCAAGAAAAAGAATGGAAGTCAGTACTACATGGTTTAATTTGTTCCTTCTCCGTTTTGTTGACTTTATTATTTTGCCTCTTCCAAACGTCAATAAATTGAAACCACCCATTGAAACTTCATAGCTGCATACTCAGTAATGTTTCTCTTTCTGTAGGAATTTCTAGGTGTTAAATGCATGTACATATGCTGGTCCAGCTCTGAAGTTTAATTTACTTTTTCTTGTTTGAGTAACAGTAACTATTTGTTCATAGGAAATTGGCCCTGATGGAGATAGCTGTGCTGTGTGTATTGAGCTCTATAAACCAAATGATTTGGTGCGCATCCTAACCTGCAAGTAAGTTTCATCTTCTTTCATAGCCATAAAAATAACATCCTTAAAATTAGCACGATGAAGGAAAACTATTCTAAATGCTTCCAAATTGATATAGCACTAAAACTGAATTATAGTTTCTAAAATTCAGTACAATTTGTTCTCAACAGTTTTTATCTCTGCAGGAAACTGAGAAACCTAGTCAGCAGAGACTCTGTGTGTGTGTGTGTGTGTGTGTGTGTGTGTGTGTGTGTGTGTGTGTGTGTGTGTGTGTGTGGTTAGTACTTGCTTCTTTATTTTAAATTCATTTTAACATTCCTATTGAGAAAAAATAAAAATCAACTTAGTGGCCTATTTTGAAGTCTTTACTCTTTAGATGTTTAAAATATTATTCCTCTCCAGAAGGTTAATCTTCTCTCAGCTATTAAATAGAGGTATTGTTGGAGCACATTTCATTGCCTAAAGCATTGGTACTGTGTTGTATTCAGTACTATATCATTCTGTTACTGAGAATGATGATTCTATTTTAGAGTTAGGGAACTGATAATTTTAATATTGTAACATTTGAAATACCAACAGATTTAAGTCAAGCAGCATTAGCCATTTTCAAGTTATGAATACTAAAAATAGTTTTTTGAGGCTAGAGTAATGGGGCCTCTATATTTAAGAGCTCTGTATTCTGAAATCTGTTCTGTGGACCCTTTATTAATGGTATGTTTAAAAGGGGAAAAGACATCCTTGCAAAGGCTAAGTGTAATCTCTGTGTGTGTGCGTGTGGGCGTGCATGCGTGCGTGCGTGTGTGCGTGCATGCATGCGGCAAAGTGTTGTTGCTGTTTCACATCTTATAACTACATTATCTCTTTTCTCCTTCATTAGTCATATTTTCCATAAGACATGTGTGGACCCATGGCTTTTAGAACACAGGACTTGCCCCATGTGCAAGTGTGACATTCTCAAAGCTCTGGGAATTGAGGTAAACGTTGCTATATTCTTTCTATGAAGGAACTTCAGCAGTGTGGTATTTATATTCCTGGGCATTCATGAAAATAACATCCTTCTCTCTCTGGGTAGGTAATATGCAAATCATTTAGTTTATACCCAAAACTAGACATATTTCTTTTATAGACACAGAGAGGTTCCTACCATCTTGGACATATTCATGTTCCTTTTTCTCCCTTCTCAAGTGTACTTATTATATGGATCAGAATTAGAACTGTAAACTACCAACATATCTACTTTTCTGTTTAACTCTGTCATTATTACATAGTTACAAATTTGTCATTAAGTAAGCATGACAGTTTGAGAAGGCATAATAAAATTATAATTTATTTTTGGTAAATGAAAAAACTTATCTTCAAGATAAAATACATGACAACTTTTAACTTAACAGAAATATACAGATCAGACTATTTTCAGTTCTCTTTTGGGACAGAATAATATATATTAATGTATACTGAGTGCCTACCTTGTACTAGCCATTATGTTTTTGAGGTGAAGGGATCAACCAAATAAAGACATATGTACCCAATTGTTAGAGCCGATTCCTACACTAGCTACCATGACTGGGGCCAGCAAGAGATTTTTGTGACATGAAAATAGGTTAGAGGTTTATGAGGCTAAGAAATATTGCTCTGAGTTATCACCAATGAAAGCATCATAATCATATGCCAATGTAATGCATGCACTCCGAAAGTCTTAATTTGTTTGAATGCTTTCCACAGGTGGATGTTGAAGATGGATCAGTGTCTTTACAAGTACCTGTTTCCAATGATGCATCTAATACTGCCTCTCCCCATGAAGAAGACAATCGCAGTGAGACTGCATCATCTGGCTATGCTTCAGTCCAGGGAGCAGATGAGCCGCCTCTGGAGGAACATGTGCAGTCAGCAAGTAAGCACAGTACTGAAGGGCAGGGACCTCATCACAAGTAGTCGACTGTGGGCCACACATCTATCCATGTATTCTTGCTTTTTAGTGATGGTTCCATCCATCCATTATGCCATTTAAGTTTTTTTTCTATTTAAAATGATGCAGTGAAAGATGTACTCCTGCCATAAAGCATATGCATATTCAAAGAGTCCATACATATTCAAATATTCCTAAAATAGATGGCATGCCGAAGGAATTGAGATTATTCATAAAAGAAGAGTTTTGTTGGAAAGCTGCTCTCTGGGCCATTTAAATGTTGGCTCATTAACTTCTTACTGGGGCGAAGGAGAACCTTTAAATTTTAGAAGCCATTGTTTATTGCAGATAAATCAGAATGTGGGATAAATGACTCCTGAAATAATAGAAGAATTAGATTTCCAGCAGCTAGGTTTATGCCTATCTTCTCAGGAATCCATCTTGAGCATAGGCAACTAGGTTTAGCAATGGTATGTGCTGCCACCTGTTGACTCTTCTAGGACATGAATCAATTGTTAGAAACTAAGATTGAACGTCTTAATTTTGGAATTCATGTGGGTTATTATGACAGTTTAGTAATTTAATATGAAGAGTGGAGAAATTTGGGGGGTTATTTAATTTTGTTACCTTTTCCTCTAAAACTATCAAATCTCTATATAAATTATTTTTCCTTTTTCTAACATCTTTTTCCATGTTTTTCTTGGTTTGAAAGTTTTCCCTCATTCCTTACCTTGAAGTAACCTAATTTTAGTGTAAAAATGGAAGACACTAATTACCACAATAACTTGTGAACATTTCAGCTTTCCCTGACATACCTTTGCCCTCTGTAGGTTTATGGGTGCCATAAATACCATTTCTGAAGACGTCACGAGGCACACAACCATGTAAAAGCAAACTTTGTATTTCTTGCAATCTGATCTCCAGACATTTCCTTGAGTACACACATAGGAATGTTAATTATCTGTGGATTGTTCTACCTGTCATACTGAGTCATTGGTTTTTTTTTCTCATGATAATCTTGTGTTCCCATAATGGTATGGTAGTAGAAGTCAGTGAAGATAAAAGATAATTTCATTTGTGCTAGTATTTTTATATAAAAATCCCATCCTACTTGATTGTGTTCAGTTCTTATGGGGATTGGTTGGGAGGGTGGGGAAGTAGAGAGACTTTACAGATCATTTGAATAGCAAATGAGATAATGATCCACAAGCCTCCTGGATTCTTTCCTGGATGAATGCTAGTGTGTAGCTGAAAGTTTTTCTGTGTCTCGGCCTGGCCTGTGGTCAGGACGAATCTCTCTCACCTGCCAGCCCCGAAGCCTCTTGGACCCAAGTAAACACATAGAGGCCTTATATTAATTAAAACTGCTTGGCCATTAGCTCAGGCCTACTACTGACTAGTTCTTACACTTACACTTAAACTCATCCCATTTCTGTTAATCTATATGTCGTCACGTTTTCTGTGGCTTTACCTATGTGCCATTACATGCTGCTCCCTGGACAGCAGCTGGCATCTCCTGACTCAGCCTTCCTCTTCCCAGAATTCTCCCTGCTTGTCCCGCCTATACTTCCTACCTGGCTACTGGCCAATCAGCATTTTATTTATCAACCAATCAGAGCAACACATTCACAGCATACAGAACATCCCACAGCACTAGTGACACCCACTTTGAAGGCTTAAGGATTCTTCTCTCAATCCTTAGTTACCTTAGATTCTTCACTCTTGCTTTCCTGTTGATTCAATTCTTTTTCTCAATTCTGTCCTCTAGGTTTGAGCTCTTTGCTTCTCTATGGCATACTTCCACTCCACCTTTCCCAGTCTAATGTCTGCTCCCCCTTTAAAGACCTGCCTCCCAGACTCTTTGAGAAGCCTTTATTTCACATGCACATCCACAAATTTTTATTAATGCATTTAGTGAACTAAGTTGTATCATATAAATTTTACTTCCTCTTAGTGAGGAGGGCATCTTATATTAAGCTGTTTTCTACTCAGCACATGCTGCTATCTAAGATATGTACATTCGTGTTGAATAAACAACCACTTAGGTCACAATCAGTTTTGCCTGTGATTGCATATTGCTCATTTGGGGAATCTTACATATTTGTCACTGATAATTACAAATACAGTTGATTTTTATAATTGCAAATGCATAATTACTTCATCTATGTAGTACTCATTGGGATCAGTTCTGTTAGAGTACTAGTCTTCACAATTAACTACTTACCTAATTTCCCAGAGGACTTGTTGACTCAGTGGAGTGGGGCCTGAAAATTTGTATCTATAGCAAATTTCCTGGTGGTACTGATACTTCTGGTACAGGGACCACACTGAATCTATCCAGCAAGGCCTCTGGTTGTCAGCCTGACTGTACATCAGAATCACATGGAGAAGTTTTTTTTTTAAATATGGCATATAAACAGCACTTTAGATCAATTAAATAAGAATTCATGAAGGATGGGCCCTAATTACAGGTAGTTTTATTTTCAATTTTGAAATAACTTCAGATTGACTGAGAAAATAAGTTTCAATAATAGTGCAGAGAACGCCCATCTATCCCTTTCCTAGCTTCTGCAAATATGAACATCTTAGATAACCATATACTTGTATGGAGCCCAGAAAATGAACTGATGAAATATTAACTACAGACCTTAACTTCACCGGCTGGCCCACGCATGTCCTTTTTTCTGTCTCAAGATCCGACACTCGGTGTACTTGTACGTCTCCTTGATCTCCAGTCTATGATGATTCCTTAATATTTGCCTTTTATGATGTTGATACTTTTGAAGATCACTTATCGGTTACTTTATAAAATGTTCCTTTATTTAGCCTTGTCTGCTGCTTCATGATAATTAAATCACTGTCCATTTCTGGTAAGAATGCTAGAGAAGTGATGCTGTGTCCCAGTCAGCAACACATATTATGAGGCACACAATGTTCTCATTACAAATGATTTTAACTTTGTTCACTCAGTTAAGGGTTCTGTCTGCCAAATTCTTCCCTTTAAAGTTACTATTTTCCATTTGTAATTATTAAGTATCTTTTTGATAGATGCTTGGAAACTATGCAAATATCTTGTTTCTCATGGGTCCCTTACTGGACAACTTTAGCAATAATTGATATTTCATGTTATAATTATTACTGAAGTATTCACCCAATAGTGATTTCCTATTTCTGTCGTTCTTCCCACACATAATAATTTTAAAATTTAAGGAAGAGCTATTCCTTTTGTATCTTATTCAGCTATTGGTAATAGAGTGAGATCACAGATACTTCTTTCATTCTTTGTTTAGTTTCATGATTTGTCCATTGCTCATAAATTCTTCATTTCTGTCTTCAGAAACTTATTTAAGTTGGGTTCTTTATTGTTTTGATTTCCTTACTTTCTGGTACCATAGTATGCTTTCAGTCTTAGGTTGACTTTTTTCCTTTAAGGGACCAAGTAGTAAATATTTATGGTTTGAAGGCCACATATATTTATTTCTGTTGCATATTCTCTTTGTGTATCTCTTGGGGGAGGGGTTGGTTTGTCTTGAGAAATTTTTTAAAGTGTGAAAAGCACTCTTAATTGTGGTTTCAGCTCTGTGAGTTATAGTTCGCTGACACCTAGGTTAGAATCTAGGTTAATTTTATACACTCCCTGTCCCCAAATCTGCCATTTCTTCAAGAAGTCTCTTCTTGGAGATTGATATATCAAAAGCAAGATTTGGGCATTAGGCACACTTATTGTCACTGGGTGGTTATTACAATCAGTTCTTTCAAAGAACAAGGCTAGGATAGACATGTTTGCTCACAAAGCTCTTCCCTCGTTTCCTTTCTCTGTCCCTCTCCCTCTTATCTGGAAGACACTGAGTTTATACTGCTGGATGTATGTGATTGCTCCACAGCACAGGGCTCATTCTCAACTGTCCTACTGGCCTTATTTGAAATTCCTTTTAGTGACAGTGAAAGGAGAAAGTCTTTCCTTACCCACAATTTGTTTACTTCACCTCTCAATTCTACAATAACATAATATACTTTCAGTAACTACTCTACACTGCACATTATCTTTAGCTGTCTAGCATAAAGTTCTTTAGCTGTTTCGTCACCCCCCCCACACACACACACCTTCTTTCTTTTAGGATGGTTATATATTTTGTTGACTGTACAGTTAGGTTCAAATAGCCCAAATGGTAGTAATGTGCATTCAGGTTTAAGAACTGTTATATTTAGGAAATAAAAAAGTAATAAATGTAACTTTTGTCCTTAATGAGTCCATAATTCATGTAAAAGTAAACACATGTACATGAATTAAAAACAGGAATCATAAATCAATAATGCCATAGGTGCCTTATGTGAAACAATATAAATTACGATTTTTTTTTTTTTAGAGACAGGATCTCATAATGTAGCGTAGGCCTGCCTGAAATTTACTATGTAGTTCAGGCTAGCCTTGAAAGCACAAGAATGCTTGTTCCTTGACCCTCTGAATGGCATGAATATAGGAGGGCACCCCATATTGGGTTTTTTAAAAGTCATATAGTATTAAGGAACAAAGAGTTGGTATAATCATCAGAGTATAATATCATTGAATGAAGAAGCCCTCTTGGAAATGATGCAGAATTCTGTCTTGAAAGGAGAGAAGGGTGGAATCATCTTACAATTTTCCCTTCTGTTTCCAGATGAAAATCTACAGCTGGTAAACCATGAAGCAAGTTCTGTGGCCGTGGATGTTGTTCCTCATGTTGACAACCCAACCTTTGAAGAAGATGAAAGTCCTAATCAAGAGACTGCTGTTAGAGAAATTAAATCATAAGAAATTCTGTGTCAATAGAAACTTGAACCGTTAGTAATAACAGGACTGCCAATCAGGGCCTAGTTTACTATTAATGAACTGGGTAAACTTAATAAAGCAAGAATGATACTGAAAGTGCTGACATGAATAATATTACACTATAGTTAAATGGCTTAGCATATTTAACCTAGTCACTTTTTCCACAAACTCATTATAATGTTTTTCATAGGCAAGTTTCCTCTTGATGATAGTGATAGCAACATTTTTAAACATTCAGAACTGTCTACAAGTAGCCAGGTTTTTCATTTATAACAACTTTCTTATAAAAATATGTTGCTTTAAATATGTGGAGTAGCTGCAATCACTTTATTTTATGATAGTATCATAATTAAATACTACTACTACTTTAGCTTGGGCTATTTGTGTCAGGGTTTGTATCCAGGTGCTTATATTGATCTGGAATTGTAAAAAGCAATGCAAACTTAGGCTAGTACTTCATGAAATGTCTATTTAAAGTACATTAAGTTGATAGAACAAGATTAAAGCAAAATACTCATTTTTAACTTTTTCTTTTTCATTAAGCTGTGTATGTATTTCATGTGAGTGTGAGCATAGTTTGTCAGAAAATGTGAACTGAATTGGTTGATCAAGTATATTAGTGACACCACACAAGATTATAGACACAAAAAGTTTCTTACAAAAATATCATAAACTATTTCTCAAACTTGAAATTTTCAAAAGCACAGAATAGAAACTACCATAAGATTTGAAAATAGTAATAGCAGAATAAATCACAAAAAATTGGTAACTGGTTACTGTGCAGAATTCATTTACAGAAAATGTTCTGTAAGATTTGTCTATGGAATGTATTTTCCAAACAATGTTGACATTGAAAATTGAGTTTACATTTGGCTTAATAGGCGCTAATTATATTAAATTTAAATTCTATCCATCTATCTATAATTTTGTGAATGTATTTTGTTGGTGTTTGAAAAAGAATCAAGGGAAGGGGGGATTTCCAGGTGCCTTAATATAAAGTTTGAAGCTTCAACCACCAAAGTTAAATAGAGCTATTTGAAAATGCACTTTATTTCTATTTTGTGTGGCTTGTCCATCAGTTTTGTTCCTAGTGAGTGCAAATTCCAACAGAATTTAGACAAAAATAGAACAGACATGTATTTTTGTTTGCTGAATATATAATGGATGAAACCATTGCATTCTTGTACACTGATTTGAAAATGCTGTAAATATGATGCCCCGATTTGTACTGATTCTCTTTAAATATGAAATGTAAATAAACTATTCCAATGAAAGATTGCATCTGGTGTTCAATTTAGCTATCATATACTCACTTTTGTATATAATACACCTAGTTTTGAGAGGGAAGAATAGTTGGATGTAAATGATCATTGATATATTTGATCAGTACAGAATAAACATCTAGTGTGATCTTTACATATGGCTTCACACAGAAAGGGAAGAGCTGCCATTATGATCTCACTGAACAAACTGTGAAGTAGTTTTAGATGTCAGCAAAGTAAATAATAAAGCTGATCAGTAATAAAATACAAGGTTAAAATATCTTGATGCTAACCTGTATTTACACTATTTATGATATGAGGATCGTTTCAGTATTTTAAAGCTTTCTCCCAGTTTTCTCTTTGGACTGTATGACTGATAGAATGTTAATGAATCAGAATATATCTTGCCATTTGTAAAACATTTTAAGAATACACAGATGCAGCCAGGCGGTGGTGGCGCACGCCTTTAATCCCAGCACTCGGGAGGCAGAGCCAGGCGGATCTCTGTGAGTTCGAGGCCAGCCTGGGCTACCAAGTGAGTCCCAGGAAAGGCGCAAAGCTACACAGAGAAACCCTGTCTCGAAAAACCAAAAAAAAAAAAAAAAAAGAATACACAGATGCTTAGATTCCACAGGACACAGGACCGTGATTAACAAAATCAGTGTACACATGTTTTGTGTGATGACATGCCTGTAGTATGAGTATTCCCTATATTTTTAAAGAGTTTAAGTTTTTGGGGGGTCATTTTGAGAGAGGTATTTTTTCCATATAAGGATTTATTTCTTTTTTTAACAAAATAAAATATAATAAGATAAAACAAAAACCATCATATGGAAGTTGGATAAGACAAGCCAACAGAAAAATGAAAGAGCCCCAAAAGCAGACACAAGAATCAGAGACCCACTTGTTGACACATTTAGGAGTCTCATAAAAGTACTAAACTGAAAGCTATAGTACATATTCAGAGGACCTGGTGCAGACCTGTGTAGGCCCTGTGCATGCTGCTTCAGTGAGAGACGTATTTTTAACTTAGAAAAAAATTATTTGTGTATGTGTCTTGTAGGCAGAGTTTTTCTGTGTCCTGGCAGTTGCTCCCAAATAACCACACAGAAACTTAATTATAAATGCTCATCTGATAGCTCAGTCTCATTACTTACTAGCTGTTGCAACTTAAATTAACCCATTTCTATTAATCTATGTGCTGCCCCAAGGCTCATAGCTTTTAGCTCTCTTGCATGTCCTGCTTCCTTTCAGTCTGGCTGGTGACTCCTCTGTCTCTGCCCTCCTTAGAAGAATTCTCTCTGCCCCCCAAATCCTGCCTAGTTATCAGTCAACCAGCTTCTTATTAATAATGAGAGCAATACATATTTATAGTGTACAAAGATTGTTCCATAGCATGTCTGTGAGTGTATAGATATGTGTGGTGAGGGATGGCACAATGTAGTGGCCAGAAAAAGCTGTTAGGCCACCCAGAGCTGGAGCTACATGTATTTGGGGAATGGATGAACAGCTTGATAACATAGGTACTGGGATTTGAACTCAGATCCTTATTCCATTATCCCAGAATATACCCTCATGTCAATAATCAATTCCTGTTCCTATTTCCAGCCTACCCATTCACCATTCTGCTGTCTCTATAGATTTGCCAATTTTAGACAGTATACAAACAGAATTGTACAATAAGGGCTTTGTGGCTGAATTCCCCTTAGAATAACGTGTTCAAGCTTCATCCATATTATAGTATATACATCCAATAATTCATGCCTTTTCATTGTTGTGTATTCCATCATATGAGAATCTGACATTTTTTAAGCCATTCATTAGTTATTGAATCCTTAGGGTATTGCACCATTTTGGTCATTATGGATGGTACTACCACATACATTCATATACAAATCATTCTGTAGATGTATATTTGGGAGTCTCCTGGGTATATATCAAAGAGAGGAATTCCATGCTACTTGTGAATTTATTACTTCCTGCTACTATCATTTGATATACTTTAGCTTAAGCATCAGACTTTATGATAGTCACAACATAGGCTAATTCTTTTAACCGTGGCAGTAGATATTTGTACAACGAGTTGTAACATAAGAAATAAGGGTGTCTGAGTATGCGTTTAGTGGAATTTGGGTTGTTTTATATTGGAAATAGACATTTACTCCACACCCAATCAGACAATATCATAAAAACATTTACAGAAACAACTGTAATGCTAGGAACATTCCTTATCTCACTTTGACCTCTAGAGATAGCCTCTACCAACAAACCTACTTCAGTGAAAAGTTTGAGAAGCACTAACCATTAATCCTCAACTTTCAGTGTGTGTATTTCATGGGTGTGTGTGTGTGTGTGTGTGTGTGTGTGTGTGTGTGTGTGTGTGTGTGTTATGTGCATAAAGGCATGCACAAAAGCTGGAGGAGGACATCAGGTGCCCTGCTCTATCACTCTTTGGTTTAGTCCCTTGAGACAGTCTCTCATTGAACCCAGAGCTAGGGTGGCAGCCATCAAGGCCTAGTAATCACCCTGTCTCTGTCCCTGACACCAGCACTGGGATTATAGGTGTGTGTAGCTTCTCTAGGCCTTTTATCCAGGTCCTCCTGCTTAATGCAGCAAGCACTTACCACTGAGCAATCTCTCTAGTCCTCAATTTTTTTTAATATGGAAGAAATTTCATGAATGTGAGGTACTTACAGGTATAGTTGTTGGTGTTTAAAAGTATAGAAATGTTTATGGCTGGTTAACAGCAAGTTCCCTTTTTAGCTGTAACTCCAACTGATATCCCAGTTTTTAACCATTGTCCCAGAAAATGTTAATGAACAGGTACTAATAGAATCTTTTTAAAAGCAGCATTATAGCCACCTTACGTTGACAGGGCTTACGTTTTTAATAAATGATGCCTAGGTGGGGCTTAGTGGAAACATGATTAATTGCCACCAATTTGTGGTAGTTTGATTTTCAAATACCCAATTCGCTTTACATGAGTGCATCTACAACTTTATCTGCCCACAGACTACCTGGGAACCTTGTTAAAATATACATTCTAGGCCTAGTGTAAGGTGAGAGGGTCTGAGTTTCTAGCTCCCAGGTGACCAGATGATGCTGGTCCACACTTGAGTAACAAAACTTTAAATGACTGTCCCCTAACAATAATATACATGCTTTGAGTCTTACTGCACCCAAACCTGCTGTAGACTAAAAATATATAACATAGCTAGTGTCACTGCAGATTAGCCAATAAACTAAATGACAGCTAGAGCCTTTCCATAGCACAGTCTCTGGAATTGGTTTTGGGCATTTCTTACCTCATACATTTTGTCATAGGTATTTGAGGCCACTATTTAGAAGAGCCAATCTCTGGATATTATAACCACATGCCGTATTATTAGGTGGGTTAATATATAGCTTAGGAAATAAAAATGAAAGCAAACAGATTAATTGAGAAGCTTTAAAAGTTGCATAGAAGCCGGGCGGTGGTGGCGCACGGCTTTAATCCCAGCACTCGGGAGGCAGAGGCAGGCGGATCTCTGTGAGTTCGAGGCCAGCCTGGACTACCAAGTGAGTTCCAGGAAAGGCGCAAAGCTACACAGAGAAACCCTGTCTCAAAAAAAAAAGTTGCATAGAAATAACATGATGTGGGGCTAGCCTAAACCACAGAAGGGTGAGATAGATTTTTTAAATGTTGTGTGGAGAGACACAAACTCGTGGAGGTGGGGAGACAGGAAATGAGAGAAAGAAATCTAAGCTTATTCCAAAGTTCTTATCTTAACATCGTGGTAAATAGTTGTGTTTCAACCTAAGAGATTATTAGGCTGGGGGATTTGGGAGAAGTGAGTTTGGCATTGGACACACTGCATTTGTATCTATGGACCCTATTCATAGACAATATAGTATTTTGGTCTGTAGTCATAAATGCAGGTTAGGATCCCATCTCTGCCATTTGTTTAAATGTGAGGTCTTAGGAAAGTAACAATTTCTCTGAAGTTGCATTTATAAGCTTAAGAAAAAGCACAGGCTTATTAATGAACATGACATGCTGTACATTAAGTGCCAGGACTACACCAGCAGGGATATTCAAGATCGTTTGTAAACCCAAAGTAATTTACAGTAACGTGCACAATTGAACAGCGAATAGAACGCCATTCTATTTTTAATGTGCTTTTAGAGAAACACTTATTTGCAAAGACTTGAAGTAGATTATGATCAAGACAAATTTTTACATGATAGACAGAATTTAACTTGAAAACTGTTTCTTTATATAATCAGCAAAATGTTTGCTTACAAAAGCAAAAAGTGCTCTAAATGCTCTGTGCTGAGCTGAAAGGGCCTGGATCTTATGATGGAGCATCTGGGTAGACCTGACTGGGTTCAGAGTAGAGGTAAAGGAACCATCCGCTTCTGATGCTCCTTGCCATCACTATAACCATAAGGGTACTGACTAACAATGGAAATTAAAAGGAGGCCGGAACTGTACAAATAAAGGAAGACAAGAGGGATCTACATTTGCTGCATTTATTGACTTTGCACTATGAAGAAAAGGAGAAATGATGTGCTTTAATACACCTTCAAGCTCAGATGACTTTGCATTAGGAACAGCATCATGTCCAGGTTTTAGGAGGGTTGCCTCTTCCATACTCTGAAGAGAGATGCTCTACCACCTATTGCCTTTTGGTAGCAGGGAATCCTAGATTGTCCTGTTTTGGGGGGTTGGCTTTGTTGTTGCTGTTGTTTGGGGGTTTTCGTTGTTGTTACTTTTCATCCACAAGAACTTCCGTGTGACAGCCTGCATTTTGGAAGATTTAACCTGGACACCCTCCTTCACGGCAGAGTTCAGTGGCTCCAGGACTACTAGTCTGAGTGTGTCCCATCCCATAGTTATAGCCACAATTCCATATGTCTTCCCTTTGGATATCTTGCCAACTTGTGGGTCCCTTTATCTGGACTTTCCTAAGTCTGTTTTCACTCTCAGTCTATTCTTTAGCTCCATGGTTTAACAAATAAAAACAGCCCTCAAA